GTGTTAATAACTTGACTTATACGCAGTAATTATTTTGTGTTTAGAAATATTAAAGTAATGAATATTGTAGAAATGTTAATATTGGTATTAGTTTTAGTTTAAACTATGAAATCAAATAACGATTATGCCGGTAAGTTGTCCATAAGAGTTGAATTCCAATTGCATCTGTATTAGTAGGCTAACTGAAGGAACAAAAGTATACCGTGGAGAAGAATTCCAACTAGTGTTCCAGTTAGTTTGATACGGTTTATTTAGTTACGGGGAGATTTTCTCAACCTCAATTTTACTTGACCGTGATAGAATTTAGTAATACTACTAATACACATGAACGGTTATCAAAATAAAATTAGAATACATGAGTGGTAATTATATGGATTTTGGACAGATAGCTAGGAACAAATCGCTAAACATGAGTGTATTCGTAAGAGACATGCTCTAGACTCAATGTTCTGATCTGCGATAGACTATTTATTTATATTTATACTTGCCGGCTGATTGGGCATACAAGTTAGTTGCAAGTATGCAGTTTATCATAAGGCGGAATACGATTTAATTGAGATATAGTGGTTACAAGTTATTAAAATCAGTTAGACCTGTGTCATATTACGAAGTGATGTGGTGCTGCAAGATATATTTAGCTAAATAAGTTTTACAAGATGATTAATAGTGAGTGATGCTCAAGTGATTATCAGGGAGAACATAAGTTGTAACCAGGGGGAGTACACTCCCAACTCATGTCTATGATAATGGCTTGAACCTTAGTCAGTGTTGGGGTAAATTCGACATTGATGTTTTCAGTTTGCAGGAGATTTGCTCGACTGCTTATACTGATTATTTGCATGCATGATTGTGTCGCTAAACCATCAATTAGACTGACAAGGTTTTGAGATATTTATTGAATGAGCAACTGATAGAGAAACATACTGTAATCATCTGTGATGGATAAAGATACCAAGAAAACAACACCATTTAATGGTAATTATAAGTCAATTTGTTGACCGATTTCGTTAATAGTTTTATTAATTTTATCAGTCATATTACGTGATTGTCAAGTTATGACAATGCTTTATGACGATATCCTGAAACTATTAAATTTAACTAGTTATAGTGTTGACTGAGGATTAGTCAGTGGAAAAATAGGTATTGTTGCTTTAGGTGATTCGAAATCATCAGAAACTTATAACGTTAAAGAATCCGAGACGCCTAATTTAATTATAAATTTCAATTCAGAAATATTCGTTTAGTGTTAATTCTAGCAGGCTACGGAGTTTTGATTTTAAACGTTTGTTTAGCCAACAACTACCTGATGATTTAGTTATTTTACTAGTGCAGTTGACAGTACCTAAATTTTTAATCTTATTATCTAAACTATGTTCGCATTTTAGGCTGCTAATATGATAAACCAATCCATAAACCCAAATACGATTAGCAACAACGACTATGATGGGTTTATTGATAAATATTAAAGGCGATTCAAATGATTTCTAAATTCAAAAGATATGAAGATATAGTAAAACGTATGTACGGGCCAGGTTAACATGCAGGTTGTTGACGTATATAAAAATTTAAAAATAATGAACATGACCAGAAAATAATTTTAAAGTTAAGACTGCTTGTGAAACTTTAGGCAGGAATATGATGCGTTATAAACCTTCCATAAGAAGTTACTGCATTTAGCTTAGTGACACTTACAAATATATGGCAAAAGCAACTGAAAAACATATACATGTTAAGTACAAAAAAAAATCATCCAGTAAAATAGTTGAACTCGCCTGGATTATTTTTGAAAATTAGATTATTCAGTGGACGACATATATAACGCCATTCGTGAGTAGTAATGATCCAAAAGCATCCAGAATAAAACATGCAGTATGGCAATCACTTCCAGGGTGCTTGATGCTGTTGAGGTTTTTGGGACTCGCTCTGATCAGAACAACTGAATGAATCCAGATAATTGTGTGCCATCTAAAATGAACTTATGATTGCAGAAAACTTATAGCTGGAACTCACCGTATGTTTTTGGAGTAGTCATCCTCGTTGTTTGGCAATGGAACTCGAGAATATGAAATTAGGCAGGCAGTGGTCAGAAGAAAAGATATTACAGGACAGTGCATCGTTTAAAACAGGATGAGGTGTTAAGTGAAGGAACACTGAGAATTAGATCCAGATAACTATTTAGTCCTTGATCGCATTGTTAGTCAATGTATATTTACGCTTTTTACAGGTCATATTTGCTAGAGCTTGATGTTTAAACAAGACTATGTCGCTGAAGCATGTAAATGCTATTACAGCTTGTTAACAAATCATCAAAGCTAATTAGTTAATATAGACGACCAGTTTTTATTATCGATTGAGCTAGTTTGTCATGAGGACTAATCAATATAACATTACGATAATGCATGTGAGCATTCGTCAGAGGACTATTGGAATACAGGGTTAACATAAATATAAAATCGATCGAGAAAGTTGAAGTGGAAATAAGGATTAATAATAATAGGTTGCGTTTCTTTAGTTGGGCTCACCAATGTAGAATTATGGTCTACTATGATATTAGTATTGCTCTAATAATAGACCTAATCCTAAATTCGTAGATTTGTCATGATATAACTGCCTAATCTATAAGATCTTACGTGGAAGTCACACCATCGACTACGCCAACTCACTGTATCGTATCAATTACCAATACATGATGTAGAACAAGGTTAATCTAGAGAAAGAACAATATATTTAATATGAATAGAAGATATAAGATAACATCCAGCAGGGACCATGCCTGCATGGCCGAGCCATGCCACTCGATCAACTCCAGTCCATTCAATTCATTGTTCGCGCCTTTTCCATTGTTAGGTATTTCTCCGCGTTAAATATTGAATATCTATTTCCTGAATAGTCTCGTGTTCACAGCTTTGTGGATTGTGTGGCTATTGTCCAATGCCACTACATGAGGAACAAGTACCAACAGACTGGAAAGAAGGACTCCTGATCAAAATACCGAAGAAAGGCGATCTCAGCAAGTGTGATAACTACAGGGGCATCACTCTTCTCTCAATACCGGGAAAAGTCTTCAATAGGGTAGTGTTAAACAGGATGAAGGACTGCGTAGACGCCCAAATTCGTGATCAACAGGCAGGAGTCCGTAAGGATAGATCGTGTACAGACCAAATCGCAACTCTACGGATCATTGTGGAACAATCGATTGAATGGAATTCATCACTCTACATCAACTTCATTGACTACGAAAAGGCATTTGATAGCGTGGACAGAACAACACTATGGAAACTTCTTCGACACTACGGCGTGCCTCAGAAGATAGTCAATATCATACAGAACTCATATGATGGATTACACTGCAAAATTGTGCATGGAGGATAGTTGACAAAGTCGTTTGAAGTAAAGACCAGTGTCACGCAAGGTTGCTTACTCTCACCCTTTCTCTTCCTCCTGGTGATCGACTAGATCATGAAGAAGTCAACATCTGAGGGGAAGCATGGGATAAAGTGGACAGCTACGATGCAGCTGGACGATCTAGACTTCACAGATGATCTAGTCCTTCTACCACACACGCAAAAACAAATACACGAGAAGACGACCAGTGTAGCAGCAGCCTCAGCAGCAGTGGGTCTCAATATATACAAAGGGAAAAGCAAGGTTCTCCGATACAACACAGCATGCACCAACCAAATCACAATTGACGGAGAAGATTTGGAAGATGTAAAAACACTTACATATTTGGGCAGCATCATTGATGAACAGGGTGGATCTGATGCAGATATGGAGGCGTGGATCGGCAAAGCAAGAGCAGCATATTTACAACTAAGGAACATCTGGAAGTCAAAGCAACTGTCAACCAACACCAAAGTCAGGATTTTCAATACAAATGTCAAGACAGTTCTATTGTAAGGAGCGGAAACCTGAAGAACTAAGAAAGCCATCATCCACAAGATACAAGTGTTTATTAACATCTGTCTATGCAAAATACTTCGGATCCGTCAGTCAGACACTAACAGCAACAACCTACTACTATGGAAGAGAACAAACCAGATCCCAGTGGAGGAAGAAATTAGGAAGAAGCGCTGGAAGTGGGTAGGACACACATTGAGGAAAGCACCCAACTGCGTCACAGAACAAGACCTCACATGGAATCCTCAATGCCAAAGGAGGAGAAGAGGAAGACCAAAGAACACTAAGACAGGAAACGGAGACAGATATGATAAAAATGAATAATTATTGGATAGAACTGGAAGGCCTAGGACAGAGTGGGTTGGAGAATGCTGGTCGGTGGCCTATGCTTCATTGGGAGTAACAGGCATAAGTAAGTATATAAGTAAGTAATATCCTATCCGACATACTGTGTTTGAGCCTCTGAATCTTTATTTCATCTGCAAATCGTAGAACAGATGACTTTGCCGCAGTTGATAAGTCGTCTGCATTAAGTAAAAAAGCCGAAAGACCGAGGATCTCACATTGAGGAACTTCACTTTTTACAGATTCCCACGTTGATAGAGCCTTGTTTACCCGTTACCTGTGTCTCTTATTATTGAGAAAGTCACCTATTCAGTTTATCACCGTGCAATGGATTCGAGGCTTAAGTAAAGACCTTTATTCAGATCTTTGTAAACTTCATCTGCCGGGACATTACTACTGTTCTCTGAGGTTCGATTTTCTCTTCCAATGAGCAGATTCGTCAAGCATGGTGGGTTCTTCTCCAAATCATGTTGTTCCCTGGGTAGAAGATTATTCCGTTCCATATATTTTAAAATAGCCATACGAATGATCGTTTCTATTAGTTTGATAACTACACTGGTTAGGCTAACAAGCTACTGCATCAAAGACGTATCAAACATAGTTGCTAGAGGTTCGGCAATTACACGAGTATAATTCCAGATCTCAGAAGTCTAGTAACAGCCTAATGCACTCACCCGTTGAAAAGAAGGCTTCGAAAAACAAAGAGATTACTAAAAGTGAGGAGTAATAATTCATAAATCTTTTGGACAGTGAATATTTTGTTGGACCTTCTCGTGATCGACGCTACTCGAGCACTATTCGTTTGTAAGCGTGATGGCGGCAAAGCGTAAAGGAGCTAGGAAGGTAGTCGAAGAGCAAGTTTCTTTGGGTCCTCAAGTTGCAGAAGGCGAATTCGTATTCGGAGTTTGCCACATCTATGCATCATTCAACGATACATTTGTTCACGTAACGGATGCGACAGGTGCTGAAACCATCGTTCGTGTCACGGGTGGCATGAAAGTTAAAGCCGATCGCGATGAATCTAGTCCATATGCTGCTATGCTTGCAGCTCAAGATGTCGCAGAGAAATGCAAAACATTGGGTATAAACGCCCTACATATCCGTATCCGAGCAACTGGTGGAACAAAGTAGGCTTCAGTTCGTTGTTTTTTAATGACCTTAGGGTCCGCACCCCAAGTCCTGCTGCACAGTCTGCTCTACGAGCCCTCGCACGTTCGGGAATGCGCATTGGCCGCATAGAAGATGTCACACCCATTCCAACAGATAGCACGCGACGCAAAGGAGGCCGTCGAGGTCGCCGTTTGTAATAGCTCACATGTTGAATACATTATGGTTTGATTTGATTATCTAACGTTTTTTGGAACTTCACTACCTCAATAATACTAAGTGCTTCGTCTAAAAGTGGATGAGACAGGCATTTTAGTTTGAAGATACCGATATATTTCTTGATGTGTTCGTAGTTATGGTGACGTTCACAGTAGTTGATTAAGTGAACAAGATTTTAGTGGTTTAAGGTATCAGTCAAACATTTACTTTAGTAGCTGTTACCGTTCGATACATCCTAGACAACCACCTACTTAAGTTATACCATTTCCAACAACTTGACGTTTTATTAGTCCTGACTACATCGCGAAACCAGGCGGTCACAAAAACACCTTAAATCACAATACTAGTCAGTCGTTTATTTGTCATTTTCTTGGTGAACATTAAGGTTTTGTAACCGTACCAGCTGATCTGAACAATCAGTTTCATTGGCAATGAAGAATAGGTCGACAGGAATATCACCCATCAATTTACTATTTGATGCAGTCAAGTATCATGCCCATGATGTAGTTTTGCCTTTAAGACGTAATTCTAGGTTTGGATTTACTACACCGAGTACGCCTCTCATACCAGCTGATTAGCTTACGCTACATTTATATCACTAGAAATCAGATTAATGGATGAAGATAGCCGTTAGTCTTTGTGGTACTCTTCTGAGACATGTCCCCATTCAATGTGTAGAATGTGGATATGGTCCCTTAGCATCAAGTGACAAGACAACGGTGGGTGAGCATTTTACTTCCTCATGAATACGTAACCAGTTTTGTCACCAACTTATTTCGGAATATATGTTCAAGACTATCAGCTGGTTGAGGCATAACATGGGCGGGGTGTAAAACTCCAATAACATCTTTATGAAGATGCTCAAAATCCCTTTAGGCTAACCAGAGTCAGCTTACAGCTATTGCTAGGTTTTTCTGTGCGGTACATCACTTCAGTTAGGGCCGCGTTTCCCCTCAATCGGGAGCAAAGCTTTTGGTCCAAATGTGTTAAGAGCCTTTATCAGTAATTCGGCTCCATAAACCGTGCTTGGGACAGGAAAGTTAGAGGTTATCCCAAAATGAGCCCGACTTTTAAGTGCTTCGACAGTCGCTTGATGGAATGTAAATAATGCTCTGCAAACACGACACCGATACTTTCAAGACGTTATTTTCCGACAAAAGGTGTAGTGCCTTAGTTCTGACATTCAGATTAATTTAGGTATCGTTGAAGTGTTTGACTTATGTTTTGACATACATATGGCCATAGATTTCTTAGAAAAGGTTCAAAGACGGAAATTCCCTCTATCGTAAGCCTCACTGTACAAGTTTAAGAGGTGGTCATGTTACCCATTTACTCAGAACAGATCCGTGTGGTTAATTTTAAGGTATGTTCCAAGTGACGGCTCAGGGCTCGAACTTGTGATCTAGTAGTTAAAGAAGCAGAAAGGTTTGTCAGTGATAGTGTATTTTGAAGTAGGTTTCCTGAGAAAGCGGCGGTTGTCTGACTAACTGTTGCCTCCGGAAGACTATGATTGACCAAAGTTTGGGGAAGAGTAACTTTAACTAGGGATTTGCAATGCAGCTTCTTGACAAAAAGGAAGGACAGGACGAGCATTCTTCATGTATGTATTTCCACCGAATGATATTTCTGGTGTTTCAGTCATGAAGACTAAAAGTTACTATTAGTGGTTGGCTTCAAAAACGACAGGAAAACATAACTCACTGAGTCGTAAACTATCCCTCTGATGTCTGTGTCCAGATATCTTTTTTATCTTTATTGCACCAACACTTTAATTTATAATACTTTGCCTCTATGTGATACGCTTGCCTTTGACACGGTGAAAATCTATAGCTTAGAGAGATGTTTCTGGTGGATTTGTGCCTAGGTCGATCCTGTTGTGGGTCATTCACCGTCCCCATAGACATCGCAAAATTTATACAGATGTGAGCTATTTTAATGTGGAGAGTGAAAAAGCCTTATATAGCAGTTCCCAGAAAAATACCACTGTATATCATTTACCTCCCTACTTGTCGAAGATACTTGCAGTTGATATGGACCGTAAGTTGCTTGAGTCCGCGACATTGTTTTGAACACTGATATTTTCCGATGAATTTTGCAGCCATGCAACTGCCGGTGATCTTTGACCTTGGCTCGGCAATAATGGCTGTCCACAGATAATATCTACTGTTGGGGCGTAATAGTTGTCTGGTACATATGACTCACAAGCCTGTGATCGAGCGATAAAGGGTTGTTTCAAAAAATTGTAACAGGTTCATACCTGCTCAGTATGCGGTTAGTTACTTGTAATAGGTATTATCTCACTCTGAATACTTTTAAGAAATATCCTGACAACATAACTATTTGGTTAGTAATATACGGTGCTTTGAGGGTATATTCCACAACTGACACAGGCCATCCTTTAATGAAATCTCACTATCTATGATACGTTTCAAAACGTTATCACATCCTCGAGACACCACAACTAATTATGATTCAGTAGGCCAGTGTTCATTAATCCAATACAACATTTTCCCTAGCTTATGGCGAACTGTCATCTGCTTTTGCAACCTCAAGTGGTGTCCGTCAAGGCTGTCCACTTTCTCCATTTTTGTTTAACTTCATCATAAACCTATTGATGGAAATAACATTCTCGTCTACTGATTTCTCGGGTATTGATCTCCATCCAGGAGGTCCACTTATCGACTTAGAATACGCAGATGACATAGTCCTGTTTGGTGAAGACGCTGATAAAATGCAGAGTCTTTTGGTAGCACTGAGCAACAATGCCAGAATGTTTGGAATGCGTTTCTCCCCCTCTAAATGTAAGTTGTTGCTTCAGGACTGGTCTGCGTCAACACCTGAACTAAGGATAGGGAGTGAAGTAGTCGAACGCCTCGACAACTTCACTTATCTTGGAAGTCTGATCAGCCCTAATGGGTTGGTGTCTGACGAAATCTCAGCACGGATTCGAAAAGCTCGCTTGGCTTTTGCCAACTTACGTCACCTATGGCGAAAGCGAGATATCCGTCTATCAATAAAAGGACGAGTATACTGCGCGGAAGTTCATTCCGTTCTACTTTACGGCAGCGAAACATGGCCATTAAGAGTAGAAGACACTCGTAAGCTACTAGTATTTGACCACAGATGCCTTAGAAATATTGCTGGCGTCTGCTGGGATCACTAGGTAAGTAATAGTGAGGTTAGACGCAGGGTATTAGCGAATGATGGTAAATCAGTTGATGAGATTGTAAATCTTCATCGACTGAGATGGCTGGGCCACGTGTTACGTATGCCCAAACACCGATTACCACGACGTGCAATGCTAACCGGTGTTCGGGATGGTTGGAAGAAAGTTAGGGGCGGCCAAACCAAAACGTTGCATCAGTGCTTGAAGACACTAACTTGTAGTCTGAGCCATGTTGGTAGATGCAGACTACTTGGTTGGGGTCCGCGTGACTATCGACTCTTGGTGACATGGCTCAGAATCGATCACAATGGCGTAGGTGTATACACTCTTTGTCTTCCCTTGAACTAAGAGATTAAAATCACTTCATATCTTTCTTTTTACAAACTAATTCTTTCTTCCTGTACTATGTCCTTATTGCAATCTTTCTTTTATATATTACCACCTCTGAATTAACTACTTTTATGAATCCGGTGTCCATGTTGTTGTGTTAATGAGGTATGGCAACTTGGACCGATGCATATATGTGCCTGGTCCTACGTTGCAGCTGACTGACCATTTTCCCTACTAAATGGAATTTCTCACGACCGATAGTAAACTAACAGTTTAATAAGGAAAATCCACTAAGATTGCCCGGTGATAGTCTATCATCACAACGACACAAATGTAGTGACAGAATTATAATTATACGGTAGGCTACTCGCAAAATCCTCAACTTATGTGAGAATGTCAATAGTCGAATACACATATAGTGCGATCGGTACTTATTAGTCTGGATCGGTTGTGGTGTGGTGAGTACATGAGTAACCGAGTCTATTGACGAAATCAATAACGTTATACACAGAAATTCAACGACATTTACATTTTTCAACTGCTACTTCGTGCAACACTACATAGTCAATAATGCAGTTCGTATTATAATTAAAACCTAATAAACATTAATGACTAGTTCTACATTGACTGTAAAAAACACCATATTTTTATATTTTGAAAAAAAAGAACTAAAGAAAGCATGAAACGTTTAATGGTCACAAATTAAAGGTGCAAAGCAGTAGGTAATGATCAAAATGTACATGTTGGAGTGATATTAGGACATAAATACTGTACTGCACAGAAAAAACCAAACATTTATTATTATGTGAATGATGACCAATAACTACTGGTTTAAAGAAATGCTAAAATATACAATCAAAATATGTTGACTTTTTAAAGCCTTTTAGTATACAATCCGAATCTATGTCTTTAACCACTCAATCATTTTACATGTAGCAGACTGGAACACACAACGAAAACAGATTTGAATACATAAGAAAGACTTGTGATATTTCCTTATAACCACAAAGAGCTCATAGAACCACCCATCTCACTTTGCTCTCGAACAAATACTTCATAGTATTGGTAGATTGTTGTGACAGCCATGAGAATACCTGTTCCGCTTCCAATAGCACCTGAAACAAATAAGTTAATTTGTGAATAAACTATATCAATAAAACCACTGGAGTTGTTGTTAAGTTTTTAGTACACACAATTTGCATGAAATATTTGTCATATCTAGTATAAAGAATTAATTAATTAATTAACCAACTTGTCAGGTGCTTACTTGGGTAAGATCTACATCCGAAGTGTGAGGGTTAATTACATTGATCTGTCCCCAAACTGAAGTGGAGTGGGGTTTGAACCTAGAGTTTAGTGACCGAAGGTAGAAAACTTGAATCACTAAGGTATCATCCCGCTAGTGGGATTCCACGAACGCTCCGATGGGAACAGATTGTATTAATGGGCTTTTTACTCAATATTTGGCCGGCTTATATAAAAAGTAGTAATAACAAGAGCTGTATTTTCACAGCTGATGACAATTACAAGCTTTCACATTATTCATTATCAAGATTTTAGGACTTAAGTAAAGGGTCATATGAAACTAACAATGAGCCCGCTCTTAGGAAAGTGCGTTGTTTGAAACGACTGTTTTGGGTAAAGCGAACGAGTAGAATCTAGTACAAATATGTTGGAACAAGCTGTCAGTCAGCTACAACGTAGGACCAGGTACATATGTGCATCGGTCCAGGTTGCCATACCTCATTAGCACAGCAAGATGAACACCGGATTCATAGGAGTGGTTAGGTCAAAGGTATATAGTATAGTATAGGAAGAAAGAATTAGTTCGTAGACAGAAAGAATGAAGTGATTTTAGTCTCTTAGTTTAAGGGAAGACAAGCTGTCACAATCCACACGAGAAAAAAGGAATTAACAAGAAAGATATGTGAAGATAATAAACCTGACAGTGGTAGTAAACCAAGGAAACCTGTGTAATAATGGCGTGAAAAGTATGAACCTACTTCTTGTGCTTGATTAGTGGCATGAATCAGGTGATGACTGGGCTCACGAAACACGCCTACCAGCTTACTTGATGGATACCCATAACTTCGGAACAATTTACCACTAATCTCAAAATGTCTGTAATGGTCCTATAATAAATCAGTGTTACAAAGCACGTTTGGCTTTTGCAAACTTACGTCACCTATGGCAAAGGCGAGATATCCGTCTATCAACTAAGGAACGTGTATACTGTGCGGCAGTTCGTTCTGTTTTCCTTACGGCTGCGAAACATGGTCATTAAGAGTAGAAGATACTTGTAAGTTACTAGTATTTGATCACAGATGTCTTAGAAATATTACTCGCATCTGCCGGGATCACCGGGTAAGTAATAGTGAGGTTAGACGTAGGGTATTAGGAAATGATGATAAATCAGTTGATGAGATTGTAAATCTTCATCGACTAAGATGGTTGGGCCATGTTATGTATGCCCGAACACCGATTACCACGACGCGCAATGCTGACTAGTGTTGGGAATGGTTGGAAGAAAGTTGGGGGCGACAAAACCAAAACGTCGCACCAGTCCATAAAGTCACTGACTTCTGGTTTTAGCCATGTTGGTAGATGCGGACTACTTGGTCGGGGTCCGCGTGACCATCGTAATCAATGGTTGGAGTTTCTGAGTGATATGGCTCAAAATCGATCACAATGGCGTAGCTGTATACACTCTTTGTCTTTCCTTGAAAACTGAGAATGCTTTATACCTTTCTTTATACGAACTAATTCTTTCTTCCTGTATTATATTCGTATACAGAATCTTTTTTTACATATTACCACACTTGAAGTAACAACTATGAATTTGGTGTTCATCTTGTACTAATGAGGTGTGGCAACTTGGACCGATGCATATATATGCATGGTCCTACGTTGTAGTTGACTGATAGTGTTTCAAAGACACCCAAGATCAGTTGCTAGGATCTTGTGTCTTCAGCCCTCTAAGATAAATAAATGATCTAAAGTAATACCTTTATGGTTAAAACATTTATATCACCTATTGGGTTATTTATTATTATTTGAACACATGAATATTGGTACAACAGAGCGCCAATATATATGCGCCACACAAAACAATGAGAATTCGAAGAGAAGTAGAAAAAATAACTAAGGAGCGCAAAAGAAAAAGAGATTGGAGTAAGGTAGTGTGGTAGTAACGACGGAACGAAAAGGTACAATCAGAAGAAATCTTTCAGGTAAAGGAGACACAACCACTTTTTATGAAGAAAGTAAAAGGTTACAGCAGGATCGCCACTGGCTTCTATTCTCAGCCACATCTGATAACGTCTCTAGCCACTGTGTAGCACCATCTCTCAGACCCCAACCAGGGAGTCGTGAAGGACCAACAGAATCCAGTCCTTTGCAGCTTTCTTTCATATCACGACACCATGTCATGCACTGACCACCTCTCCGCTTCTTCCAACCAGTCCCAGAGTCGGCAAATAATGCACGACGTGGAATTCTCTGGGACGACATTCGGAGAACATTGGGTAGCGGATTCGAATCCTGCTCTGCTTACTTCGGTCTGGACTCAATGCTGAGTATTCGAACTTATACTCGATTAATAAATTACAATAACGATAATGCTACCATTTTAGTAACTGGGTTTTTCGGAGAATACTTTAAAACGTGATCATTAGTTCAAACCGCACTCTTACAATCAGCATTTAGACAGTTGGTAAACATTTATTTTGAGAATATCTTACTGTATTAAGTATACAGTACTTGAAAAAACGATTAACATCAAGTCACATCTCAGTATGTGTATTTATAAATGACCGTCCCACTGTACATACACATTTTGATAAATTGTACAAACGAAAATAAGAACGAGCATATACCGTTTATAAATGGACAATTTAAAGGATTATGACAGATTTCCAATAGACGATATCCGAGAGCTCTACTAGATTACGCCAACGAGATGTATTATATGGAAATCTTTTCGAGTAATATCACACATGAATGAATATAAAGAATTTAAGTAAAACGTATGTATTAAACGGAAGATATAGTAACCTAGTGGGTGTTTGGTCTGGAATTCAAGTAAATAACACCCCTACAGGGAAGATTGCTATGAAGAGTAGAGATAGTAAAGAATCACGAGTGGACAAATAAACGAAAGTAATTCAGGACCTGACAAAAACTATATCGTTGCCACGCTTCATATTAGCACACAGAAACAGAACCAAAGAGACATAGTAAAAATGGATGTACCGAAATTGTCTGAGAACAGAAAGTAGAAAACCAACGCGGAAATATGGAGCAGAATGCATAGAATAACGATTTTTGAAGTTTATGCGAGAATAAATCTTTTCTCATTACTGTCACTGACTCGAAGCTATTTCACCGTAAGCAGCTGACTGCTTTCTTGTGAAATGAAGACGTGTACCTTGGATGCTTTGACGCCCCCCTTCAGAGTAACTAGATTTATATATAGTTAAAATGAAATGCCACTGAACTATATTTATTTATTATGGGAGTTTCATACGTCGTGCGAATGCAATTAAAGCTACTCGCTGTCTAAACCTATAAACCAATGGCCGCAAATTAAGTTTTACTCAGATTGTCATTGGTCCACTTAGTGATTCACATAAAGATGTAACGAAGGCATTCTTTAACTGACGGTCACTCTTGGTTATTGAAGTAATTATTAAAATGCAACTCAAGAAACTAAAATTACCATCTTACCTAGGAAGTCTGCCAATACTGAAAGAGCGCCGATACACAGACCACCAAGTGCGGCTGCTGTTGGAATGTAACGATTCAACTCATGCACCATTGAATTCTCCCGATGTCCTGGAACGACAGTTTGTTGTTCTTTGAGCTGTTTAACTACATCTTTAGCACTGGAATTTGAGACATCGATCCATATTTTACTGAAAAACGCACAGCTTCCAAGCATGAAAGCAATATACAAAATGCCGTGTATGGGGTCTACTAGCATATCTCCTAAGGAATCTGGAGGTGTCATGTAGTAACACAATCCTCCGATAGGTACAGATCGAGAACCACCTTCACCATCCGACCAAACACCCAAAAGATTGATAATGAAGTTACCTCGAAACTTGCTAGCTAACATCTACAAAAATCTTTTCAAAATGCAGTGCTACTTACTTGTGACATTACATAAAGATTAGAGACAAGTGCACTTTGAAGCATGATCGGGGCATTACTGGTGTAGAAAAGTTTGATTGGATATGAAGTTGATTGCCCACGATATCGGATTGACTTGACTGCAATATCTACTCTGAAGCTCTGAAGAATTCGAGACTTGTAGTTAACTTACTTGGAAGTAAATGACGACAGCGAAGACAAGAATAGTTGCAAGTATGTTCATTAGATTTGGCAGATTTTGACGATAAAACGCTTCCCTTAATGCACGAACTTTATCTGTACGAGTGGCCAGTAGATGGAAAAGCGATATTATAGCACCCTCGAACTCCGTACCTGGAAAAATAAACGTAAAACTTAATATCTACCTCGTCCAGTGTTAATCGTAGTAGGGCTTATTGCTCTCCACACAATAGTTTCACAAATATTAGTTGCAATAAACAAAGATATACCAGAGCCCAAACCATAACCTTTCTGGAGAAGTTCATCCAACATCAAAACCAAAAGACCTGCAAACGTTAGCTGAAACGAGAGTGATTAAAAAACAACACCAAACCTGGAAGATTATCAACAGACAAATTCCTGCACCTAGTTCGCTTGGTGCACCATAGATTCCGGACATAACATACACAGAAGCTTGGCCAACAGTTATAACCATACCGAATACTGAAGGGTCAGAAATTAATGACATCTTACATTTCTGAGCTCCATTAAATAAAGCTCTGTCTTTCGGTGCATCACCAACAGAGAGCACTTGTATCCCAGCAAGAAGCTGCATAATTAGACCAGATGTTATGATTGGAGATATCCCAAGTTCCATAAGTGTCCCTTTGTTTGACGCAGAAATCACTCGAAGCCAGTAGAGAGGGTCGGCAGATTCAGACGACATTATGCCGAAAAGTGGTATTTGGCAACAAAACAGAAATATCATTAGAGTTATTCCCGTCCATAACACCCGTTCTCGAAACTGAATCTTCCGTTCAGGACGGGAGATCTCCGGTAGGATTGCACAAAACGGCTTGACGATATCCAAAAACTTAACTATGTAAAACAATTATAATAAAAAACATTCATAAAACAAACCAGTCATCGTCAACACCAAAATCACAATGCGTGGCGGCTAGTATGCATGAAATGGACTGAACAAACAATTTTCATCATCCAATGTCTTTGTCATTAACCGATACGAACCAGCTAATCTATTTGTGGCCATACCTAGAAACGGACGTGTAGTCTTTATATTTTTTAGCGATAACTGTAGCAATGAGTCCAGCTAATGGGTGAGATTAGCAGTGGACACACTATATTTGAAGGAGTTCGAGTATCCTAACACCAATATGAGATACTTGCATGGCCTGATAAGCATCTAGGCAGTCTTTGCAGTTTTTTGCGGTATAAAGCATTAAGAAATCGCTAAGAATTGAGACAAGACTGGATGGTACTATCTGTCTCCATCTACAAGTGACTAAAGGGATTTTAGGGTCGGATGAATGAAAACCCCTGATGCCTGTTAGGGCTCTAATAAGCAACTACCCACATTATTCTGAAACTCGATCTTTCCTCATAAAGGGGAGTCAAGAAGAGAGAAGCCTTTACAAAATTAGATGAGCTTCAAAAACTCGCCATAGTAAGTCCTGTTTTCAAAACAGGTACGAAACACAAACCTGAGAACTACCGCCCCGTTAGCCTAACTAGTGTGGTTGTTAAAATCTTAGAAAAGATTATTCGGAAGGAGCTGTTTAAGTAGCTTGATAAAAACCGGATCCTCTCGGAGAAGCAGCACGGCTTCAGAATAGGTTATTTTTGTCTCACTAACTTATTAGTGGCTCGTGAAAGCTAGTTCGCTCTTAAGGACCAAAAGCTACCTGTAGACGTCGCCTTCATTGATTTCAGTAAAGCTTTTGACAAAGTTCCGCACAACCGGCTGTTATATAAGTTAAGAAAAGTCGGGATTGGAGGCAATCTATTTATGTGGATACAAGACTTCTTAGTTGGGCGTCAACAAAGAGTAAGGGTGAACTCAAAGTTATCTAGCTGGGAAACTGTGCTTAGTGGAGTGCCCCAGGGTACAGTTTTGGAGCCAGTGCTATTCCTCTTGTATGTAAATGACCTTCCTTGTCTCCTATCATCATCGGTCTTGCTATATGTTGACGATGTCAAGATATGGAGAACGATACGATGTGAGGGTGATAGCTTAGAACTCCAAAATGACCTGAAGAAATTATCTGAATGGTCCCAAACCTGGCAGTTGCCGATAAATACTTCCAAGTGTGTTGTGATGCATATCGGTCATCAAGGTACAGATACATACACGATGAATAACACTGAGCTACCTGTTGTTCAGGCACATAGTGACTTAGGAGTCATCGTTAGCCAAGAGCTGAAGACTACTGAACGCTGCTGTGCAATAGCCGCCAAAGGTTTTAGAAACTTATGGTCAATACGTGGGGCTTTTATTCATGTCGACGCCAAAACGTTTTTGACTTTGTATACAGTGTTCGTACGTCCTAAACTTGAGTACTGCATACAAGCGGCTAGCCCCTGCTTAAAAAACGACAGTGAGCTTCTGGAAAAGGTTCAGAGAACGGCAACTAAGCTGATTCCCGGAATAGTGAAGCTTCCATATGATGCTCGACTGGCCAAGCTGAACCTATTCTCGTTGTCATATCGGAGAACTAGAGGCGACTTGATTACAGTCTACAAATTGCTTAGTGATAAATTTGCACCTGATATATCCTCATTTTTCTTGTCCTCCAAAACAGAGAATTTACGAGGACACTCCAAAAAAGTTCATAAGCCGAGAACAAATTACTTGTCAGCTGACTATCGACTTTCCCATCGAATCATCAACGAGTGGAATTCGCTACCTCAGCACGTGGTTGAGGCTCCATCCGTCGACTCTTTCAAAAGAAAGTTGGATCAACTGAGATACCACCATTGCCAGGACTAACATAGGCCATCGAGCCTCCTGTCCTTCCCAAACTGAAAGTGAAACTAACTTGTATATTGTTCATGATATAGTACTGAATGAAAAATCCACACTGAACTGAAATTATTGGAATTCATAAATATATTCAACTCCCACAAAAAAGCAAACACCCGCTGGATGTGGCCGTATAGTCCATTGGACTCAAAAGGAGAAACGTGGTCAAACTTATCTCCATGGCCTAAAGGGGGCCGAGTATCCTCAATGAAGCAACACTCAGTCATTCGAGTACAAAACGATTAGAAAAGGCAAAAGGTAACTCCTGGTTAGAGATCTTGTTTCGACCATAGTTCGCAAGCGCCGGAACAAAACGTGTATGGTAAACACAATGCAGCAGTCATCTGATGCATAATAGCTTAAAAGAAAAAGACTATAACAGATATTAACAGACGCGATTTCGGAGATAGGAAATCGTCACAACTCTCACAATATATGAAGCAACTAGCCGGCACATTTAACTTAGATGGAGATTTTTTAGAGCACATTTAATAATAATAAATAGTTCCCAAATAGCAGTCTGTTACATGAGACATACCAATTTATAGGCAAGATTAAATTGTTACAAAAGATACTGTCTTCACTATGATGGGTTACTCAGTTAGTTTGATATTTTATAAGTACATTGATCATAAAAGTAATTGGGATAATGCTTCTCGCATATAAATACAAATAAGATTAGTAAAATCCGTATTGTCAATACGACAGTTGGCGCGCTTTACGGAGGTTGCATTGCGACGTGCAACTGACAGTTGGGAGTGAATACACTTACATTTGAGTTTCTATAAGCTGTAACCTTATATTCCTATGGGTCATTAGAAACCAGACACGTCGTGAATATGTCTTTCATTAGGTCGTGTGGTAGAGCAGTTGGAGAACAGGGTTATCATTTTCAAGCACACAAAGTGTGGGAAGTAATTTCCTACAGGTGTAATTCTAAGCTATTCTTTAGACTGTCGAGAACAGAGTTTCGAACAATAACTAGAGTATAGGAAAAATATGTCAACGAAGCGAATAATATTTCATAACGAACATAAACAAGACATAGTCATACAACATCAAAGAAAGTCAATGTGGTGGTGGGCGCTTCATATTATTATTGGTGGGTTCGTTTATCGGTCACACTTTACACAAAGCTTTTCACTATTCGATATGAAATAATGGGAAATATAATGCCCATACAAAATAAGGATATGAACGAATACTTGAGCTACAATGTTTTGACATTGCTGAGATGTTTGCGGCCAACTCCCAATCAATCAGCCTAGGTTGTTGCATTGGCTTCCTTCTAAACTCCACTTCCATAGGAATGTCAATTAGATCAACCTACCAAACAAGAACGTGTCAGCTAGGTTTTCATAGCCAAAAAAGGAGCGCTAACTCGATGACGACCAACACCCAGTCAATATTCGGAGATACTCCATGGATGTCGCACACTTTACTAACTTATTATCTTACCTCGTAGCATCTAACTCCTCCAATAAATTACTGCTCATGACTTGTTTAACGTGTCCCTTATTAGAGGATCAGAGGTTGTAAGATAATAGAAAGTAAGAAAACAAAACAAGAATATCCAGAAACAATTGGAATAGGATAAACTGCTGAATTTTTACTCCCAATTACGTGGATTACTGCAAGAAGCTTAATGAAGATAAAGAGTACAGTATACAGCTTTGATAAAGAGGCTGATAAGTTGATGGTTAGGGGACTCCTATTTTACTAAACACCCAACCAGGTATGTTCGTTTGGCCTACACTTAAATACATTCCCATCAAGAAGAGAGATCAGAAGAAAAGTTATATTGTCTATGAGCACTGCTAATGACTAATGTCCGTGGGAGCTAGTGGAGCTGGCAACACCAATACAGTTTGTTCACTACTTAGCAGGGTAAGCGAGATATAGTGTATAGATAAAACAAGATTACAAACATGTTCTAACTCATAATTCAATGCTTCCATTTTAATTGTGGCTTATACTAATAGACGTCCAGCTGAATTCTACCGTTAGTTTGTACAGTCACGGTGTAACGGAAAGAAAACGTTGAAAATCTCTCCACAGCATTTTTATTGGACAGTACTGCTATTTACTCGTTTCTTCTCCCTGTCGTGTATTTTAACCTTTGTCCAGATCTCTTTTGACCACACTTTATGTTCTTCAGTATTTCTCGACTGAGTTTTTGTTATGTGATTTTGATTAAAGGCTTACTTTTTGTTACTTAATTTTCTATTGCATGTTGCCGGACTATTGACAGTAAGGTCGTGTTTGACTAAGCCCAAGGTCACGGCGTGGTTCAGTGTGTGACTGTTTACATTTGACTGTCTGTTTGGGAAGATTGCTGGAATCCCTGCAGATACATATTTGATCCCATCTTGTTGGGAATATTATTATTGATTCTTAGGTAATCAACTCTTTTGTATTAACTGTTTCCTTTGTTGTTTAGCACACTACTTTGTGGTAAAGAAACTTTTGACTGTATCTTACAAGCTGTGCCCTTTGGGGTATTTTGTATTTATGATATGATTTGTTCTATTTCCTAAATTAGGACCGTTTAAATTGAGCACAGAGTTTGTGTTCTGATATGATTTAATACGAGTAACTGAAAAACGCTTTGTACACTATACAGAAGAACGTAGTCTGGTCTAATCGAATAAATTTTGGTTTGTGAGTCCTGCGTTCTAACCGAATATTGGCAGTTCGGTCGTTACACACGGTCTAGCTCGGTGTTAGTTATTTTACGTCATCATATTAAAAAAGACCTAATTCCAAAATCGTAGATTTGTCATGATGTGACTACCCAATCTACAAGATCTTACGTGGGAGTCGCATCATTATTTGTACTGCCTCATCGTACGGGACAATCACCAATATGTTTACTAGCTCTAAATAACACATTTCGTTTGGGGAATAAAATGATATATTTATTGTGGAAAGGAGTGAGTTACACAGAATGATCACCCCCGTAAGACTTAGCCATGCCATACCGATCAATTGATTTCGCCTTCCTCATTTCTGATTTTCCTCGGTGATTATATTTTCAGCTTTGATGATCGTGTGGTTGCGAACCAATACCACTAAAGTTGTTTCATCAGCCTGCTCCTGTAAGCGGCTTCCATTGGAATGCTTAATCGACTCGTTGTCAGCTTTCTAAACTA